TGTCTTTACTTTTGAAACCTGAAAAAGATACGAATACTCTATACTAATACAAGGTTGGGCAAACCAGGGCAGGGGGATTGGAAACATTGCATTGAGCTCTGTTGAATCTTTGGGAATTTGGGCATGCAGGTGCTTTGGAAGATGGGACAATTAAACAGTCCACCCGTGCCGTCATTCAGTCTTTAGGCAAGAAGATACAGTTCAAATATATGATTGATTCCCTGCCCAATGATTATCAGTAAGAAGGCTGCCTTTCCCCCCCCCCTACTAACAGGATAACAAGTGACCCATACACCACTGCCTACTAATGCCTGTCAGCTTCTTTGCAGAGAGTGACTAAGAACTACAAGTTGCCTCATGATATAAAGACACTTGGGGTTATCAAACATTAAACTAAAGCACTTCAGCAAGTGTTTTCTTAAAAAAACACTTCCTTTGTTTAAATATATTGCTTTAGGCTGGCATATAATCTATCATGTAAACATTAGATTGTTGTGGGGAAACTAGGAAGGAGTGTGTGCATGTTTGCTGCCTTGAGTTACTTATAAAGTAATAAAGGCAGGATAAAAATCTAATAAATACAGAACGTAGACAAACTAGTATAAAACAAAAACCAGGCTTTTGTTGAAAATTACATTCTTGGGCTGCAAGTTTTCCAGCAGAGTGGTAATAAATACCTTCTTTGAGCAAGGTATAATTCATCAACAGTCTTGAGACAGACAAAAGGACCAATTTATATACATTTCATACCTTTGAAAATAACTGATATATTAACCATGTGAAACAGAGGTGGTATTCAGCAAGTTCTGACCAGTTCTGGAGAGCGGAAATTTTGAGAAGTTTGAAGAACCAGCAAACACCATCTCTGACTAAAGATTTTATAGAACCCTTTCCCTGCCATACCTACCAAGCCACACCCACAAAACGGGTAGTTAAAAAAAAAAGAATCCCACCACTGATGTTAAAGATACATTTTTCCACTAGGAGACATTCATTATATATATGGCCTAGGGTCAAAATACATTCTTGAATGAATTCAAATGGCATTGTTCCATAGTCATTATTTTTAAACAACAGGTAGCTTGTGAAACATAGTATGGCATGATGGTACTTATAGCCACTGTGGTTGCACTTGAAAAAAGGATACGCTAAAATATGAATTATTTGGCAGGGAGGGCAAAGCAAAACATTGCAACCTTACAATCCCAGAGAATGACTCTGGGACTCAGGAGGGAGGGAGGAAAGAAGGAAGGAAGGAAGGAAGGAAGAGAAGGAAGGAAGGAAGGAAGGAAGGAAGGAAGGAAGGAAGGAAGGAAGGAAGGAAGGAAGGAAGGAAGGAAGGAAAAGTGTTGTGATAATGACAGTGTAACCAGAAATGGCTGGAAGTTACCTAATATGATGGAAAAAGAAAGTAGAATAGGACTGGTCTGTGGAAAAAAAGGGATACTGCAAAAAAAGAAATATCTCTCCTTGGACGTGAGTGTGCCTGTATTTGGAGGCGTGATTCTGGCAGACAGCAACATTAATAACTGGGCAGAGTGACTTTCACATTTTAACACTGCGGGGGTGAGAAATAGTTTGAAAGGAATTCTGAGATAGATGTAGATAAAAATATATTTCTTATTAGGGGATTGAGTCCACCATATATTTGGGTTCTCAGGCTAATTTGCTAGCTTTGCTAATTTGCATTTCTGTGAATTCCAAATGTGCCTACCTGTCAAAAAGATCAGAGAGCCCTATAGTAAGTTTTGAAATTAATCTATGCTTACCTCCAGTTATATGTGCTGGCAGAATATATCATCTGGAAGTTTGAACAAAATGATAAGAATCGGGGCAGTACAAACTAAATTCCAACATTATGCTTCAGTGTAGACAACATGTATTTCTGTCACCTTCCACTTCTGACATCTAAACATTATACGAGGGACCCAGACTGTTGGGAGCAATATGCTGACTCTGTAAACCACTTAGAGAGGGGAATAAAGCACTGTGAAGTGGTATATAAGTCTAAGTGTTATTGCTATATCCTGGAATAGTTAAATGGTCTTTTAGAAACATTCAAATCTAGTTATCTGATTTTTTTTCAAGAGGTGGTATAATTCTTCCTCCAATCTTAAGAAGTTGGATGTGAAATAATATATTGAAACAAAATCTGGATGTCAGAGATACTTATTGTAGGAAGTCACAATTGCAGGAATGTTATCAATTTCCCTATAGGGTCACATTCTCCCAGAAGGACCAGGTACACAGGGGCAGTTCCGAACCAAAATGGCTATCTTGTGTTATAATTTGAAGCAAACAACTCTGAATTCCTTAGTTGGTATGGCAAATCTGGCACTTCCTGTAATATATTAAAACATCACATGTATTACTGGGTGTACTGTATTACACTCTATTGGCAGAGGGTGAGATGGTGCTGGTTTTTCGGTCTACCTGAGCAATTTGTTTCAGGAACCAGAGACCACATTAGATCAAGGTTGAAATAGTGTTTATTGTCAGTTTATTTTTGAGGGAAATACACAAGTGCTGGCTATTTCCTTTATTATTATTTATTTATTTATTTTATATTTCATGTTTGTAGACTGCCCATTCTCCTCAAGAAGGAGTTCTGATTGGCCTCTGATCTCTTAGCCACATGGATAGGAAATTATGTGAATTTCAGTCTAACTTTCAATGGTGTAAATGCATTCTAACATACAGTTTATAGTTATTTCTTCATCAAATTTATATAGCCACCCATCACACACAAGGAGACTATGGATAATGCACAGTATATCCAGGTCTTAGGGAAAACCCTAAGGGATGAGGCCAATCTAATTTCAGGAGGAAGCTCCATAAGGCAGGCATCATAGCAAAGAAGGCATGTCTTCTGGTACTCACCAGATGTAGGTTCCTAGCCAATGGAACCTATGGCAAGATCTAATGGGATGGCTGATATAACTGGGGAGATATGGTCCCTCAGTCTCATGCCATGAAAGACTTTAAAAGTTAAAACTAGTTGAATTGGACTCAGAAGCAACTTGGCAGCCAATGTAACTTGTGGAGCAGGAGAATAAGATGCTGCTCTAGGAGCACACATAATTTTTTGTACCACTGCATTATGTACCAGTAGAAGCTTCCAAATAATCTTTAAGGGCAGATCCATGTAGAGAGCATTGCAGTAATCCAATCTGGAGGTGAGGAGGGCTCAAACAATTTGATTATTTACCAAATCAATCAACGAAATCAAGTTGCATTCATGCAGGCTTTTTAAAACTGTGTTCTTTAGAGTCTTAGGGTTCTGCATGAATTCAGTGGGATCTGGGAGAGGCTATGGATAAAAGAAAAAATGCACTCAAATGCATTCAATTTTCTGTCACTAGAGTTTTTCTTCTTGATCAGGTATTTATCAGATTTTTTTTAAAAAAACGGTTCCCCAAACTGAAAAGGCTTCACAAGTCCTCTGTAAATGTAGTTAATATTTGTCTAACCCCCTTCTTTATGGAAATTAATTTAATTGTCATAAAGGTTTGAATCGGATTTCAGTAGTATTTCTCCTTGACCTTTTGGGCTAGAAGACATTACTGAAAATTTAAGAATACATCTTGGGTGTTCTTACAAAATGATTATTTTGATGGGTCTTATCTATTTACAAATGTAGATGTAACTATTCACAAAACACCATTTTTTACAATAGACTTTGGGTGCTTGTCACTACTCTAAATATTTTACCCAATAATTTAGTTAGATTTATAGTTTATATACAGTTTATAGTTATTTCTTCATCAAATTTATAAATTAGTCTATACATTTCCAAAGATAACATTTGGTCCATTTTTTATTTTCTAGGAATTCCTATGGGATCCAGGTGTAGCTTTGGATTTTCTTTGAGAAACAATGAAAGCTGACACTTTATTTTGGAAAACATCAGCTTTTCATTTCATATTTATTTTAATTTTTTAAAAGGCTATTAAAAACTAATGAGAAGAGTGTAGAGAAGTGCTATTGTATTTATTTACGTAGTTTTAGTGGGACATGTAAACTCTACCATTGTGGTTTGTACATCATGGTTTATGGCTTATAATAAGAAATAGGTAATCTGAGTCTGCAACTCTCCTATTGTAGGCAATATTTATTTGCTTTTTCCATCCTTCAGGTCAGCTCTAGGATTTAATGTAAAGTCTTTTAGATTATTGTGCCCATAGTTTCAGAGCAATGAGCTGTATAAATCTTGTGCTAATTATCTTGCATATTAGAAAAGTATAATGAGCAATTGCTCATTATAAACTAATGAAATCAAATTTCTAGTTGTAAAAAAGAGAATGAGAAATGGAAAGTATGAAATTACAAGAGATGGAAACAGTTACATAGAATTCTTATTGTACTCAATAAAATCACACACACACACATTAATTATGGGCATTGACTCAATACTGCATGGATTGCATGGAATTCTTGAGCTAAAGGTTGCTCTCCATTATATTAGATGGTGAACAGTGAAATAAAAGTACATTTATCTATGTATTGATAACATTTCAGCCCAAACCTTCAGCTCACTTCTTTTGACCAGTATGAGATCCAGCAAAATCAAGCATATAGAACTCATATATTACTTGTGTAAATCATCTATAGGCAAAATGGACTGGATCTTAATAAGAATCCAGCATAACACTGTAAGCTATTGGCTTAATTATGAGTTGCTAATTGGCTGAGTTCACACTTTAAACTATTTAAACAAAGCATTATTTACAAACCAAAATGGAGAGATTCACACATAATGCACAAAATGTCAGTGTAGTTTGTTTTTGGCTAGGTATGTGATGAGAACCTGGCAATTCAATATATGGTGCTGAAAACCAATACTGTTCTAAGTTTTTGTTGAGAAGTTAGCTAATTTATCTCATAGCTCCTCTTGTATTTTGTTTTCTTTACCTTCTCAGGCTTCTGTCTGCCCTGAAGGAAATTAAGATTCTTGCCTAACTCATCATCAGATTCTACCCCCTCCCATCGCCGCCCACCTCCACCGGTACCCGCTGGTGGAATGACGTATCACAGTGCAATAAGCTTTGTCAACAGTTGACTCCAACAATCCGTATAAAGACTGCTCCGCGAAGCTGAGCTACATTTCAGAACCATGGAGAGCTCTCGCTTTTTCGCCCTGCTTGGAGCCGCTTTGTTGTTGCTTGCGGGAGTCCGCGGTCAGGAAGAAGGCGAACTTCAATCCCGAGCTTTGGATCTCTATTCCACCATGGAGGAAACGTCCCACGAAAAGGAACTGGTATGTTTTCCAGCGAGAAAGCGTCTGAATAGGCGGGTGGGGCTATTACTGATCTCAGCAGCTTCTTTTACTATTTTCCGATGTTAGCCTTAAACTGCTTAGTAGCTGTTCACTCCTCACGTTTTGCTTCAAATTTCACGAGATGCAACTTTTGGCAAACTTAAAGCCATTCTTAGCAGGGAGATAGGCTGAATAAGAAGGGAAAGTTGGAGTGGAAAAGAAGCTTGAAAAGAAGAAAACTCCTAAATGAGGTCATCGGGTCTACAGCTCTTAATATCAGCTCTTCATATCCACCGTTCCCAAGTGCCCATGAGAGGCCGGCCAGCTTTCTTTTAGGTTGTCAAATGCTTTGCCTCCCATTCTGTATTCAGCTGCTTGATCTATTACTAATAAGCTAGTTCATGTGTCTGCAGATTGAAGCACTGCAGGAAGTCCTGGAGAAGCTGAAAAGCAAACGTCTCCCACATTATGAAAAGAAGTATGGTCAAGTTCCCATGGTGAGTGCGTTCTGATTCTAACTCAGAAAAGTTATTTTTAAAACAGCATATTCCCTGGAGCAGAAGTAGGTTGGTAGGGAGCTGATATCTGATTGAGGAAAGAACTTTTTCCTAGAAAACCGCCAATAAAAATGATTTTTTTCACCCCATTGTATTAATTAATCCTCACATTATCAACATAAGGCTTAATGTTAGCCTTATAATAATAATGTTCTACCTTCCCTCATGTCAAACCTTAGGTGTCCTGCTTGAAAATACTGAAATAACGCTTTACAAATGTTCTGTTCCCCTTTTTTCCTTTTCTATCTAATATCCTAAAGCTGCAAATATATATTCTGTTTTTTGGGATTAAATCCCATGCACTGGATTATATTGTAAATATGTCTACTTGAAGGAACTTCAGTGCAGCTGTATATTTATTGGAGAGAAGTTTATTTAAATGAAATAAAACCTAGTAGTCATGCTAGATTTTTGCACTTGGATTATTGGTATTCTTTGCATATATTTTAGGCTATTACTTAAATTGAAATGCTTCTGAGACTAAAGTTTAAAAGAATCTGAATAAAACATTGGTCATTCATTTACAGGAGGAATTAGGCTCCTTTGCACTAACTAGTATTTTCTGAATTAAATATTAGAACATGGTTGAAAAGGAAAAAGAACCTTATCATCAGTGTAGATTCATATTATGATAGCGAAGTTGTGGGTTTTGGTGTCTTCTATTTTGAATTTTTGACAAAAAAAATTACATCTTGGTTAAAAAGATAATTGATGACATCTAACCATGGTATGATACTTTAAAAAATATATATTTCTACACATATTGCATTTGAACTTTTTCATGAAGTCTAGAAAATGGATGTTTTAAGCAATTTTTATAAAAAATTTCAATGCTGATACAGAAAGTTAAATGAAATATTTTCTCCAATTCATTCATTTGATCTGCTACAATACAGAAATAATTGAATTTTAGCTTTAGTCCTTTAAATGAGGTGGAAGTGCAAACCTCACACATAGAGTTTGTATTTTTGCAAAAAAAAAATCTTTTATGATATTTCTCCCTCTGGCCCAATGCAGTTTCACTCTTGATCTAATTGTTGGTTGCTGTTAATGACAGTGTGATGCAGGAGAGCAGTGTGCTGTGAGAAAAGGTGCCAGGATTGGAAAACTCTGTGACTGTCCCAGAGGAACATCTTGCAATAATTTTCTCTTGAAGTGCTTGTAAAGTCAAGTCCCTCCTTCAACCTCTGGAGAGAACAGAAAAGAATCAGTTGCCTTGTCTGAAGAATTAATCCTGAGTTATGGATGCAGGTGGGTGGGGTGGAGTAGGGTCTGTATTCATCACATACAAAGTAGTGGGCGGTGGGAGGGAAATGGGTGTAAGGGCCGTACTGTTGCTTTTAGGATTTCTTCTTGCCATTTCTTCTTTCTGTTGGTTTCCTTCTTTGTTCCTGTCCTATTTTTTCCCATATTTGTACACCAGTGTTCAAAGAATAAATTGATATTTTCAAAACTTTATTTTTGAATGTAGATGGTCCCCATGAAAATTGGCTCTACAAAATATATTCATTTATTTTCTCTCAAATGCAAACACAAGGATAAATTAGAGGACGACTAGAGGGGTTAATCAAATTAATGACACATAGGAATGATTCCAAGATTCAAACATTTAAAAATAAAATATAAATATCCATTTCCCAAAAGATACACACATGTATGCCAACTGTAAGAAAACAGTGGCACTATTTCAAAAGTACTCTACTAAACAATTCTTTCATCTCAATTTGGTAGTACTTTCAACCCAGTACCTCCAGCTTTCTTAGGCAATCATATTTTTGAAATAAATAGCAGAGGAAGAGACGTAGACTTTGCCTCCTGACATCTTTTGAGAATAAGATGGAAAGAAAAGTTAGGAACATTTTTCCTTGACAAAATCTGTAATGGAATTCCTGATGTTTCTTTCAGAAAGAGCAGCATAATAGGCAATTAATAATTGTAATTTAAATATATGTCAAATAGTGACACCCTGACCAAGTCATCAGGACATGTCTACTTCGTGATGACTAAGTAGAAAGATATGAGACAAGTCTTTGTTGACATTATACTTGGTTAATTAGTGTATGTATTGAAGGATATTGCAAAGACCTACTTCAAATTAAAATTTCTGAATATTCATCATCAGTTTTCTCTATTATTAGACCTTGATCATTGCCATATAGTATTGTTTTGAGGACCAGTGCTGAGTGCACATACCAGTGCATTCAAGCAGCACTGTTGTTATATTACTTTGTATGTTAAGACTTTGTCAGGATTGAGAAGAATTTGGTTGAGCATAAGAAATGAAAGTGTTATGAAATCTATGAGGACCACAACAACTCCCATCTTCTAAAGTTGCAAAAAATATTGATGAAATAAAGAACACTTTCAATTTTGAGATATTACTTCCATAATCTGCTACTGAAGAAAAGTATAAACCCATACCATGTAGATGCCTTTTCTTTTGAGACAATAACCACTTATTTATGTATACAATTAAATTCTGTTATAAAGGGTTCAAGCAACCTGAAGCAGATTTACATGTTTTACAAATATGCATATATCAAACAATGAGAATGGATATTTATAAAGGAAAGATTCTAACTCTGTTACTTCTATAACAATGTATTGGTCAAACTTTCAAATATTTTTCAATAATGTCCTCTTGTATTTTACTAATCTATTTGATCATTAATAAAATCATTGTCACAAAGTCCGTTTCAATGTAGTATTTTATTTTTATTTTTTGACTATCTCCAGATCTTTCGGGATAAATATTTAAGCTTCTTGACTGAAGTGATTCTTTTTATCAGCACTAATGTATGCATGAATGGACATGTGAATTGCAATGTTAAAAGTGGAACAAGGCATTCATCTGACTGGGGAAAGATAGGGTATAAATTAAAAGAATAAATACTTGTGTTATTTGAGCAAATTATATATTTGGAATGTGTCTGATACATTACTTTGGATGTACTTTGTAAAAAAAAATATTACCATAGAATCAAAAAGTTGGTATGGGCTATTTTGGCAATCAAATCCAACTTCAGAAATTATTAAAGCATCTATAATGAATGATTGACTAGCCTCTTTTTTTAACATATTGATTAAAAAAGAACCCACAATTCTATCAGTCTCCCAAAATAGTACATTTTTTAAAAAGGGGGAGGGGTAAGGGGACAAGAAAGGTTGATATTAGCTCCAAAATATCGGTAGGTATGTGGTCCTTCAGGCAGATAATTATCTTTGTATTAAAGGCATCATTGTGGGATTTGGGCGCAGACCTACATATTGTATGAAATCCCCAAAATTCCAGAAGCATGTAGTCAATTTTAGACAATTTGGAGTATTGTTGATTGAGTATGGGGATAACGTGAACTAATTGTGAATTATGAATTAAATTTGATTTCAGGAAAGATTTTTACAAGCTATTTTGCCTTGGCGTCAAATCAGAATATCCTTTCAAATCAGAGTTATATTTTATTCCGTTATATTGGTCAAAAATATGTCCTAATTTTGCACTCATTATTTGGAGAACTTAAAAGCTTCACTTCCAACAAGCCAAATATACATTTTAAAAGGAGTTTTGAGGTTGGATATAAACATAAATTTAAAGGGTGACAGATGGGTATTCGTAACACAATCCATTTACAAGAAAAGAAGGAGTCAATAAGTCTTAACTGATACTGGACACACTATGCCTATATAGAAGCAACATACATGTAAACTAATGTAAGATACTGTTTTATATTGATTTGGTTCAGTAAATGCATAGTGTTCATTTTTAAAAACCATTAAAATGATACTTTTCTTATGAACTCACCTATTAATTGGGATTAGAATGGTGTCTCTTTTGCTGGAATTCTTGTAATAAGGAAGTTTCAGTTACCTGGTAAGTGAATGAGCACAGAGATGGTTCTCATTATCTGTCCAACCACAGGACAAATCATAGAGGTATAATCCCAATGCTCAGGAATCATAAAGATTAAGCAGCTTTTGAACTAATTCTAATATTTCCAAATTCTTATTCTTATAAATGGAAGCTTAGGGATTATCTCTAATGTTAAATGAATACATTTATGCAATATTTTTTTTATTTTTTTTTTGTCCTTCTCTCATACCCTGTTCTCCATGAATCTCAAATCTGCCTCTGAGAATCCCATAACTTTCCAGAACAGAACAGTTATATGGTAATGAATCTTTTTGGATGTTAGAATACCATTCATTCACAGGCATTATTGGAACTAATTTAACTGCTTAAAGAAAATTAACTGGCAGACCTGAGGCCACCACTTGCAAGAAGCCACACATGAATTTCTTTTGCATACATCCAAAACTTGTTTCTGAGTTTACATTACATTGAGTTTCTGTTCTGAGGTATAATTGAACAATTATAACAATTAATAAAGAAAAAAGCACTAGTTTTGCCCTTTATATTGTGCTTATTCTCTTATGCAAAAATACTAAATAATAAAATTACGAACAACAAATATGCAACTAATCTTTTATTTGTCTTCAACTTTATATATATAAAGTTACACAAACACAGATAAATCAAACCATTAATTTCAATGTGAACCAAAGGTGACTTAGTACCAATGGTGGGATTCAAATTTTTTTTTTACTACTGGTTCTGTGCGTGTGGCTTGGTGGGCATGGCAGGGGAAGGATACTGTGAAATCTCCAGTCAGAGGTGGTATTTGCTGGTTCTCTGAACTACTCAAAATTTCTGCTACTGGTTCTCCAGAACTGGTCAGAACCTGCTGAATACCACCTCTGCTTAGTACAAGTTAAGCCAAATCAATCAAAGTCTATGTTGTGTTGCAAGAAGTGAATTTACTCAAAAGTGACACAAACAAGCAATTCTTGACTGAAGCACTTTGGCTTACATCCATTTTCTTGGTAGTTTTCATTTAAGTTGGCCATCATATAATTTATTTATTTAGAAAATTTATATTGCCACCTACTCGCTGCGACTCAAGGCGGCTTACAAGGATATAAAAACTTCACATAAAAGAAATAAAACTAATACCAATAAAAATAATAAAATAATTACTCCCTCCCACATGATCATATGAAGCCATGTACTAACTTGAATAAATCTGATGTTCTCATTAATGTATCTTAGGATATGAGTTAGGAAGAGATGCTTTTCATTTATAATTGACAATTAATTAGTTAATTAAACATTCCCAGGAGATGAATTAAATATATGAAATGAGGAACCTGGAATAAAATTTATATGGAAGACATGTACATGAAATAGTCAACTGAAAGGTATTTGAATGTGAGCATTTCTATCCCACTCTCTAGTTTCTTGACAGGGTTGACTTAGCACTCTGCAGTTTATACTCTTTCTGTTTCAGGAAAAAAGATTATGCTGTCACCCAACAAAATGACTTCCACTGTGATGAGGCATAATTGGATGACTTAAGCCTTTTATTGTTAATTCAATCTAGTATTTTCAAGTGCCTTGACTCAGCAGTCTAACGGATAATAAATTTTCTATCAGCAGGTGTGATAATGGCATCTATGTGCTGAAAGGATAAGCATTCTTTCAATAAAACTTCCATGAAAAGTTAAGTGAGGTAGGTTAACTTATCACTGTATTTTCAAAAATATCCATGAACATACAATTCTGAAGATTTAAGCCAACAATTAAGAACTGTGGCTTGGAATAGGATAACTTGTCATGGCAAATTTGCCACAGCCAACTCATTGCTTCCAACTCGCCATGGCCAACTCGCCTTGGGCCAGCTCACTGTGGGACAACTTGCCTTGGGACAATATTTTAATTTTTGTCAATCACATTTCATTTTGTTCCTCCTTTTGCATCCTTTCTTTAATGATTCTATTCCACCATTTATTTGATATTATGTAACTTTTGTCCCAAGGCAAGCTGTCCCGCAATGAGTTCACCATGGCGAATTGTCCCATTGAGAGTTGGCCATGGCAAGTTAGCTGTGGTGAGTTGATGCTAGCAGGTGCAATATCAGGAAAAGTTTTATTTTCTTCTCCCAGAAATATTTTGTGTTTCACATACTGTAGATTGGTCTACTCTCCCGCTGCTCCTCAGTTGTGGAGTGCTTTCTTGCTGCTATCGTCTCTCTTGGAAGAAGAGAAATAGTTTTGTTTGACTTCTTCCCATTTAACATTGGCTTGTGAGACTGATAGGCACCTCACAGCTTGAGTACT